GAAGCACTATCAATAATTTTAAACCATTCAGTAATTCAAAATATAATTTTAATTTACTCTGTGATTATCTATTATGCTGTAATGGTTAACTTCAGTTTGTATGGCAGATAATTCCATAATAGAACACAGTATAAATTAAATTTTCTATTTCTAAATAATCAGTTGACAAAAAATCACAAAAATAAAAGTAACTCTGAACACAGATCAGACCTAATGGCATGGATATCTAGAGCAAACTTCAGATTTATAATAATTTAATTTATTTTATGATCAGTAGTGGAATACCGCGGTTTATCAGTGAAATAAAAGTGTTATTCCACTGGCAAGAAAACGTTTATATTTTCACTCAAGTTTTCTTGCTTCTCGATGAAATAAAATATGTTATTCACTCTAAAACGACAAATATCCTCTATATATTTGTGTGCAGTAGTGTAAAATGGACAATTTCATAGTTTTGGGGGGCCTATAAAGGCCGTCAAAACATTACATGACACCCAGAGCAATATGCAAAATATTCATTCTCAAGTTGTTTTTGGTTTATACTTGGTTGTAAAAAGAGAAACCAATCAACTCAAATAATGTTTATTGAAAAAAGTTATTATAGGCCTATTTAAAATAGAATTTTAATATCTTTAATTATTTAATGAAAGCTTACTTTATTAACATAACATAAATAAGAGAAGCGCACAGTAATAAGCTCTAGAAGAATTCTTGGGGGGGGGGGGGATAAATCATGTTGAGTAAAATAGGCCTTATCCAAAAGAGGGCGCGGCACTTTAACATTTTCAAATGGCCCATTTTAAGGTGTATGGAAATTACATTTTAAATCTAGAAATCGAAACTACAAGTATTTGGTGGATTAGTTTTAAAGTCAATAAAAACCTTTAAAAATCGACAATAATTTACAGCCTAGACCAATTCGTAAACCGTCACAATTATTGCCTTTATTCACTTCAGTTCGGGCCGTCCCACGCTGCGTTTATCCATGTTTTAAAAATATGAATCATGTTTTATAAATACCCGAAACACACACACAACTAACATATGATTGTATGTGATAATTCTCAGTAGTTTTGTTACCGAATATACTATAAAACTACGAAATTAAAGAGATTTGGTTATTTTTACTCTGTGATGTTTAGTGACATTACAGACAAACCCCAAGATGCAGTGCGCGACCTACTTTGTATGCTGCATTGACTGGAATATGTTTTACATTCACGAATTGTCAGCCACAGAACAAAGTAACCATGTGCGAAAAAAAATAGCATGTCCGATGATATAGGAAAGGTATTTTACAAGATTACAATTATCTAAAACATGACCAAACAGAAATTTATCCCAGTTCGCTAGGTTTTGTGTATTTGTTCCTTATACTATTGGATGCATTTTCTAGCTAATGATACTAAGTATTTCACAATTTACATTGAACAAATGTTTATTTGTTTGAACTACATGTATTTATGACGGTTTATATTTCATAGGCTACCGTTTATGCGGAAGATTTATCCATATCCACCCACCTTCCCTAGTCTTTCGTCACATTTTTCTTTTACTATAATATTCATTTGTCCATTTGTAAGTTAAATGCATGTACTTAATTTATCTTGTGATCTCGATGTTATTCTACTTTCAATTTATTTATATATATACGTAAGTCTCACGAATGAATGTGACGTTCGCGGGTAGCCGTATTTGCAAGGTATTACGGGAGTTCTCGTTGCCCGTTAGTTTACGAGATTTTATAATTGTATATAAGCTGTCACACAGCGCATTTTTGATAGATCTTTGATTGAGAGCTCAACTGATAAATTTTAGTTAACAGTATTAGAACATGAGTGGATGTCTGAAGGTTCCTTTTTGTGTTCTCTTATGATTCAGTGATTCCCTCTGAGTGTTCGACGGCGTCGGTGCTAAGTTATATTGTTTAATAGTGTTTTACTATCTCTAGTGTTATTATTAGAAATCATATTGTTCGTTATTACGTGTGTGTCAGTTTACCAGATTTCATATATCGTTGCTGATCGTGTACACGTGTGGTTGTGTGTCGACCATAATTTGGGTTTCATCTGAAAGTGGTTTGATATTAATATCATTATCATCCTTATCATGTTGGATTCTTGTCCGACATATGTAATTTGATCTCGATTAGAAGATAATATATATTTATTTTTATATGAATATTTATTTTGTTGTTTGTGTTATTGAGTAAGGGAAGACATTGTACAAGGCGACATTGCAGTCGTATTTCGTTCAATTATTGGAGATCCTGGTCAAGAACTTGGGAAGGGATTCCTTATATAGTCACTCTTTAGCTGACACTTACCCATTACTAACTGAAGAGAGTTATGATCCCAGGCGAGCTTAGAAAAACCCCTCCCTGGATAACAGATCAGTAGCCAAGGTTCCACTAGAGGGTCTTTGTGATAGTGGATACAACCGTTAGACGCTACATTTTTATCTTTTTTAATTAAAGGAGCTAAGTCGCTAATGTTTGGTACCTAGGAATTGACACAAATGGGTCGTAACGCATATAATAATGTAATAGGAATATATATAAACTGATTTACATTCAATCGTTTTCATTTTTACTCTAATTTCAAATCAGTTATGTTCGGTGAAATATGTTTGAAGTCTCAATCGAATCCAAATTTCTAGCGTCTGGTTATTCTAGTCTACATAGTATTTATTGCGCATACTCTCTCGGTATGAACATGCCGTCACTGTTTGACATGACTTGTTGAATGTCTAGCCTCATTCTTCTAGTCCCTTGTTAGAATGGGCCTGAAACGCATTATGGTACACGATTCGTGTACCAATGGTAAAACGTTTATTTTGTGTTAAATATTGGATATCAGAAGCCCATCTTTTCCCGGTAAGATCACAACATCAATGTTGATTTAAATTGACAAATAATTTGTGTTTTCAATGTCAAAGATTTTGGATGATATTGAGTTAGAGACTTAGCTACTTTAACACAGTGTTTCTTGTTATTTCTAATACAGTGCACACACTAAAATGCATGGTCTGTTTTGACAATCACCGGGTTAGTACGTTGGGGTGTTCATTTATATGAACACCTACTTTTCCTCAAATGATCACTTGTGCACGTGCTAAAACAACACATTACAGGTTGATCAGTAACTTGAACAACCAAGTCAGGCTGACCTTAAAAATATCTTTGTTTCACCAAACCCGACCCACAATCGAGGAGAAGGGTCGGTAGGTCGTTTTTTTTTTCAGATTTTTTTTTAAAGTCAGAGAAATCAATACAGAAAACTTATTAGCTGTATACTACAGATTCATTAATTTTGTTTAATGAATTTGGGGTCTGACGTAAAAAGTAACGAACTGAAAGTTTTTATTAAACTTAAGAGCTAATTTGACAGCTTAATAATTTTCCGGGTGGAAACATTCGTCTTCTTTATTGGCAAACAAATCAATGACATCGGGATTTTTCTCGCACACGGTTTGCCACGAACTTGAAGTGTGAAACTCCTTCAACACGTTTTTAACGATAGTGCGGGTTGTGCCTTCATTTTTCTCGAAAACCGATATAGAAAATATCGTCGTCATGTTTAAAACTACGCACCACAGACATAGAGGCAGAATCATTTCGTGGGAATGGACGTGTATTCGTCTGCAACCATTTTGTTGAGAAGTGACACCTATGACGCATTCATCTTGATCAACCAGTTTCAATAATGAATCAAACCATAGCCATAGTAAAGGGAAATAACTCTCATGATATATTTGGAGGCAGACCACCATTAATTTCTCCATTGACTCCAATGTTAAATCAGTGGTGTTCTACATGCTGTAGCCCATTCCCTAAATTTCGTTGAGAACTTCGCTTTACAGCACAGCAAGTATGACATCATGGGATCATCAGAGTACTAAATTTGTATGAGGTTGACCACCAAAATTTCAATTCACTGAAATTCATAGCAGACTGGGGTCAGAATATCATGTCCGTGTTAGTGCAAAAACAAAACAAAGCCTCTTTACTCCTTGTAGTCTTCCGCCTTAAAAATCTCAATCTGACACCAAACCAGGCAGAAAATAGAAATTCAATGCCTCTTCATCAATTCTACACCAAAAAGTCAATAGAGATAAGCATGCAAAATGGCAGGAAAGGAGGGAGAAAAATATATCTAAAAATAGCCGGCACTACAATTTGTGGGTACCGAGATATGGAAAATTAATGGTGGTCTGCCTCCATTTCAGGTTGACACACAAAATAAAATAAAAAGATCGTGGAAAAGTGCAATAAAATGATTTAAGTCGGGGGTGGTTTTAGTTAGTCGGTCGCGGTAGGCGAAACAAAGATATTTTTAAGGTCAGCCTCAGAAGAAAGGGTCCAGTGTGTAAGCAGAGATAAGCAATCTGATTGATTGATACTTTGGAGCACGATAACTTTGGTTATAATTAAGTGAGAGTGATGAAACTCCGAGCATAGATTTATTATATCATTACCTTGACTAAGTTTGATGATGAGAATTTTCTGCTTAGGCTAAGGGGCGATAAGCAATTTGATTGGTCAAGTCTTTGGCACATAACAACTCTGCTTATAATTGAGGTAGAATGTTTAAACTTGATGTAGATGTTCATTACTGAGTTCAATGATTAACATTTCGAGCTAAAGCTAAGCAGTGCTAAGCAATTTCATTTGTCGATGCTTTGGGACAAGATAACTTTGATTCAATCTGATAGAGAGTGATGAAACTTAGTGTATAGTTGATAATCAGTTTGATTGCTCGTTACTTTTGAAAAAAATAAATGTGCGGTTAATTAATATGTGTCATCTATTTATTTTGGGATTTCAGCGGTGGACATCAGCCTCACTGTTGGCTTGTTTAGCTTGTTCTCTGTCCATCTCTTGCAAAATGTGGGCGTATCTTGCATGGCAAGCGCTTGTTTACTTGTTCTCTGTTCATCTCTTGCAAAATGTGGGCATACATATATCTTGCATTGCAACTGCTTGTATTTGTGTTCTACAGGTTGATGAGTTATATAAATGTAAAAAGATAAAATATGGATCCATATTTACTGTCGAAGACATTACGTCAACATGGAGCTCCTCTCTTACGATGGTTGGAAGCAGAACAAAGAGAAGCTCTACCTCAAGCCATCATACAGAGAGCCGTTCTTCAAGAATTTGGTGCAGCTCAAATGTTAGAACTAGGGTAGGACATGTAACTTATATCTATAAAGAGCAAAAATGTCAGTAAGATCCACTATAACCCAGTATCATTTAATCTTGTGTATCTAGCACATTCATTCCATATCAATTCTTTGTTTAAAAATTCGTAAAAATCGTTTAAAATCACCAAAAATCATCTTATTTGTACTTCTGTCCAGTTTAAAGCTAACCATTCAATTTTGATAATGAGTGTCCAATTTAATTTCTCGATCACTGTTAAAAAATAAACAACCCAATTGATAATTGATCTATAATAATCCCCCGCCTTTCGAAGAAAGCAGGGGACTATTGAAATGGGTGCATCAATCTGTCTGTCTGTCTGTGTCTGTCCGTCCGTCAAACTTTTTGGGACACAATAACTCTCCTAATTGAGCTAGAGTGTTCAAACTTGGTGTAGGTGTTTATTAGGTCAATACCTTGATGGAGTTAGAAGATGAGCATTTTCTGCTTAGCGTAAGCAGAGATAAGCAATTTGATTTGTTGATGCTTTGGGACACAATAACTTTAGTTCTAATTAAGTGCGAGTTATGAAACTGGATGTATAGTTTCATTAAATCAATACCTTGACTAAGTTCAATAATGATCATTTTCTGATTGGCAGAGACTTTGGAACACAATAACTCTCCTTCTAATTGAGCTATAAAGTTCAAACTTGGTGTAGGCGTTCATTAGGTGACATCCTCGTTATCCCCAGTGGTTTCATTCCGTTCTACTTCACTAACCAATGGGTTAATCCTTTTGGAGGACATGTTTTCAAGTTATCCACCCTTGATAATTGTGCTAATTTTATCGACCAATCCCATAAGTAGTTAATTGTGAAGGAAGTTGGCTAAGGGAAGTAACTCTCAGCGGAAAAGGTTAGGAGTTAGCCTAAATGAGAAAAGTCTAAATTATGCCAAATGCATATTTATTAACAACAAATTATATAATATTATATTAATGAAGACCGGACGTTATGTAGGTTCAAGAGTTTTATTGTGGATCGATCGTTCGTTCATTCGCAGAGTTTTATGTCCACGTGATATCGTAGACAAATTATTGTGAATCAAATTGCCAAGTATAAGTTCAATAATAATAAACATAACAGAATCAAACATTTCAGACAAAGAACGAATAGTAATAATAACAACAAAAGTCAAACATGTAGATGTTACACATATTTGAAATCCACGAAACATACTACAGATTTTGATAATACACTTAACACTGTAACATTGGTACTGTTTAATCTGGCAAAATAGCGTTAATTTCTACTATGTTAGGTTGACCCACCATAAATAAATATCTCCAAATATCTCGACAATTACGCCACAGTATTTATATATATGCCAAGCCTCAAATCAGTTTCACACAATTATAGTCACTAAATAAACGATCATGTTGTACTTAATAAGCTATTACCATTAATCATCTATAAATAATAGACTGAAAACTGGTTCCATTAAGTGTCGTCCATAACATCCAGACACTTTTGAGTAAAAGATAGGTTATGTGCCCTTGTTTTGAAATTAGTCTCGCTTAACCAGTCTATTGACCATTCTACGTCTGATTGACAAGTCGGGATAATCAAGACTACTTTTTTACGAAACATAACAGAAAGCTAGAACAAGAAATTGAATTTAGAAATAAGCACTTTAGCCAACTCAACAATTGTTTTAAGAAACTTGTAAAAGTAAAATGAAACTACTGCTAGTATCATGTTCCTGCTAACGAAAGTGATTCAGAGATATTATGTGTACTAAACCAAAAGATGCCGCTCTTAACAGTACAGTTAATGATAAAGCAATTTATAAAATAAAACAAACGTAATTTCTAAAGCTGCTGTAATAACCAAGAAGCTAAATTTTACTGCTATTCAAAATCATCAACAATAGATTTTTTACGGCTGTAATAGTTGATATATTTGTAGAGAATTGCACGTGCCATGGCTATTTATCGACTCAAAGAGAATGCGGGGTAGTCAGAAATCAGTTCGAGACACGCAACTGAAGCATGCACATTTAGCCGTGTTGAGACCAACTTTCTGTAGAGTGCACGGGTCACCCTAACGCTGTGTCCAATTATCTATACTAATATTTGTGACTGTCGTTTGTCTGTCTGTCTGTTTGTCTGTCTGTTCGGGGTTGGCGGCTACACTAGGTCTGCCCCGAGTCTGAAATTTGGGGTATAGGGGTAGCTCGAACCGGGGAGTAACATAGGCCAGGTGGCGTTAGTCTACCACTTCCGCTTTCGGAGTTATGACCCCCGGGCGAAGCCGGGCATTCTTCTAGTTCATAAATATTTTTGAATTTCGCCGAATAGTGCTCAATTTGTATCGAATTTCAATCTCACTGTTTAATTTTGATTACTCTAAGCGTCTAATTAACTAGTGTTTAGTTTCTCGACACGTGTTGAATTATAAGCGTCCCGTCTAATTAGCACGACTGTTCAATAATTAGTTGGAACGTTCAATTTTCCGAGCCGTGATTAAAATCAGTCAAGGTGTCAATTTTGTTGTCAAACATCTAATTTCACGTGCGATGCTCAGATATTACGATGTGTTTAGTTGTGGGTCATCGTTCAGTTTTGCCGTTGAATGTCTATTTTGCCGTACAATGTTGAAATACTGTAATAAGTGTTAGTTTTAGTTAAGGATGTAAACGGTCACTCGGTTAACCGGTCACGGTTCAGTTGCACTGTTGAACCGGTTCAAAAAATTACTAATCGGTATTCGTTTTCGGTGCCCCTTCGTTTTCATATGATACCCGACCTTTAAACCCAGGAATGATAGCCACAACATTGTTTTCTTTCACTAAGACCATGTAAATATTTTAAATAGAACTTGTCATTAGTAATAAGTCTCGGGAAGTTGACGTCTTTAAATTCTCGCTCAAAGTTTTGACTTTGTGTACGTTATTAGCACTCACTGCCAAGCATTAAATAGCCTCAACTGATTGACAAATTAATTGTTTTACAGTATTAACCTCATCACTGCACAAACAAAGTCTCAAAATGAAACAAGTATGATGTGATGAAATAATATTATAATAGAGAGGATATAATTGTAAAATTGTTTATATTATCACTGGATTGCGCAATGCTGTGGGGTCAAAGTTTACATACGGGTCACTGGTACCATACCATACAGCATGGCTTGTGATAGCAACACGTGTAGTAAATTCTTTGGAATTAGCTGATGTTGAATTAGCATTGCCAACGGGTTTTCAGATACAACCAATGACTCAAAAATGACAATGATACTGCAATTGTGAACTATCTAGAATGAATAATCTGAAAAAATTTCGAAAAAATATTGAAAATTAAAAAAGTTATAGCGTTTTAAAGAAGGCAAACCAGAGGCGCTAAAAAACGGCTTTTTTTTAAAAACGCAAAAAATTGACCGAAGCCAATATCTCAGTAACTATACAAGATAGGTCTATGAAAATTGCACTAATTAAAGATCTAGATGTACTTGATAAAGCCAAATTGTTGCTATAATATTCTAGTATATACTTTTTATGTTACAGAGGTTCAAAGTTGGGATCTGTGCCGATTTCGCACAAATCACAGCAAAAAAATGGACAAATTTGTGTGTACTTAAATTGTAGCGCTTTGACATTAATACATAGGCTTATTTTTGAATGAATAAGTACACATAAAAATGTTTTCAGTCTGTTCTGTTATTTATTTTTTGCATGACAACACCTTAAATCACAATATTTGACCGTATGATGTCAATGTCGAATAGAAACAAGTTTATATATGTAATTGGGCACCTACTGGTTCCGAGGCCATTGACCACTGGCCATTCACAGTCATACAACAATCATAAACCAGTTATACTAACGTATACTGTGGATATTTATAAAAATCATGAAAGTGTGTGGCAAAATGAGAAATAAACCTGTAAGCTTTTGGCAGATTTGCCGCCTTTGCCACGCCAACTGCTTTAGTTGTTTATAAGCTACCATGTACATCAGTTTGAGATTGTTTGTTTCAGGAATGAAAATTAACAATTAAACTATGATTTATATAACAGCTATATTTTTGTGATCAACATCACTACAATTTCAAATAAAAACAGTAACATAGACATAATTAAAACATGATCACTTCAATTGTCTGATAAATATGCAAAATGATAAAAACATAATGTACTGTGCTTAATAAAAAATTAAAAGGTAAGCTTATAAAAAGTAAGATATGATCTACATGAAAGAGTATTAAAAAAATTCATTTGTGATACATGTGCATTACGATATACTATATTATAATATCAGAGGTAGAAGTCTAGCTTTCTTGTTGAGACATTATCCCATGAAAATAAAAACAATATAAACATTCAGATGGTGATACATTTTGCTGAGACATTATCTATGTCATAAAAATATAAAAATATTAAAAAAAAAATCACAATAAGATCAAAATTCATATCGGTTACTTTTCAATATGAAATTAAAAATGTTCACCCACCGGTTTAAAATAAATGATAAAAAAAAAGAAACCATTATCACATTTATCAACAAATATAAGATTTCTTACAAAAACAAACAATAACTAGACTTGCTTGCAAGACTGAAGGCTTTCACCGTGCCAAGGCGTCACACGATCGCCAGATGCATGACATAAGACTATCCCCACCTCTCACCCCCTAAACAAACACACACTCCCCCACCCCCAAATAAAAACACACATTTGCATAACTCAGATATTGACATATTCTTTGCATACGCATTACGATAGAAGGGAATCGAAAAATAAAGTTGATCTACGCGAAATGTTAAAAGAACAGTTTCGCGAAATGGACGAAAAGCAATGTCGCAATAGATATTAATATCAAAGTAAAATGAAATGGGGTTTAACACCATTCTGCTCGGAATGGATCATGAGGAATGTTTCGAACGTACAGCGGCCCTAGCCTACTCTTATATACAATTCCAACTGCCAAGTGATCTTTTACAGTCACACCAATATGTATGCGGGACTTCGGAATCGCGTTCATGT